CTTAATGACTTCTTTGCCTCAGTCTTTAATAGTAGAACCAGTCGTTCCTTGAGTACCCAGCCCCCTGAACTAGAAGACAGGGATGGGGAGAAGAATGAAGCCCCCATAATCCCAGAGGAAACCATGAGTGACCTGCTACAGCACTTAGACCTACACCAGTTTATGGGGCCAGATGGGATCCACCCAAGGGTACTGAGGGAGCTGGGGGAGTTGCTCACCCAGCCACTTTCCATCATTTTATCAGCAGTCCTGGCTAACCAGGGAGGTCCCAGTTGACTGGAGATAAGGAAATGTGACACCCATCTACAAGAAGGGCCAGAAGGAGGATCTGAGGAACTACAGGCCTGTCAGTCTGACCTTGGTGCTGGGGAAGGTTATGGAACAGATCATCTTGAGTGCTGTTACATGGCACATGCAGGACAACCAAGTGATCAGACCCAGCCAGCATGGGTTCCTGCTTGACTAACCTCATCGCTTTCTATGACAAGGTGACCCGCTTAGTGGATGAGGCAAGGGCTGTGGATGTTGTTTATCTGGACTTCAGTAAAGCCTTTGACGCCATTTCCCACAGCATTCTCCTGAAGAAACTGGCTGTTTATGGCTTGGAGGGGGGTACGCTTCTGTCATGGTTTGGGCTGTACTAGCCACTGGGTGAAAAACTGGCTGGATAGCCAAGCCCAGAGAGTTATGGTGAATGGAGTTAAATCCAGTTGGTGGCTGATCACAAGTGGTGTTCCCCAGGGCTCAGGACTAGGGCAAATTCTCTTTAGTATTTTTATCAATGACCTGCACCAGGGGATCAAGTGCACCCTCGGTAAGTTTGCAGACCCCACCAAGTTGCATGGAAGTGTTGATCTGCTTGAGGGTAGGATGGCTCTACACAGGGATCTGGACAGGCTGCATTGATGGGCTAAGGCCAATGGTATGAGGTTCAACAAGGTCAAGTGCCGGGTCCTGCACTTAGGTCACAGCAACCCCATGCAGCGCTACAGGCTGGGGGAAGAGTGGCTGAAAGCTGCCTGGCAGAAAGGGACCTGGGGGTTTTGGTTAACAGCCGGCTTAATATGAGCTGACAGTGTGCCCAGGTGGCCAAGAAGGCCAACAGCATCCTGGTCTGTATCAGGAATAGCGTGGCCAGCAGGACTGGGGAAGTGATTGTCCCCCTGTACTCAGCACTGGTGAGGCCACCCCTTGAATACTGTGTTGAGTTTTGGGCCCCTCACTACAAGAAAGACCTTTAAGTGCTGGAGGTGTCCAGAGAAGGGCAACGAAGCTGGGGAGGGCACAAGTCTTATGAAGAGCAGCTGAGGGAACTGGAATTATTTAGTCTGGAGAAAAGGAGGCTGAGGGGAAACCTTATCACTCCTGAAAGGAGGTTATTGCAAGGTGGGGGTCGGTCTCTTCTCCCAAGTAACAAGTGATAGAACAAGAGGAAATGGCCTTAAGTTGCGCCAGGGGAGGTTTAGATCTGATATCAGGAAAATTTCTTCACTGAAAGGATTGTCAAACATTGGAATAAGCTGCCCAGGGAAATGGTTGAATCACCATCCCTGGAGGTATTTAAAAGACGGGTAGATGTGGTGCTTAGGGACGTGGTTTAGTGGTGGTTTTGTCAGTATTAGGTTAATGGTTGGACTCAATGATCAGGTCCCTTCCAACCTAGACAATTCTATGATTCTATGGTAGAACACTCAGCTACCCTTCACTGCAGGACTTCTGCTCAGCCAGCCATTCTGTACTCGTGTGGTAAATCATTTCTAACCAAGGATGAAATTCACTTTTAGCTGGATGTCTGCTAAAGGACACCTTCTGAAATGTTAGACGTCCAATCTAATCTAAACTAGCCTGTACAAAATGCCTCTGAACTCAGTGAAGAGTGACAATGCATCTCATCCCATGCCAAGATAGATGTATGTGGGATGAACTGCCCTAAAGAGAGTCACTCCTCACAATTTAGCAAGTTAAATTAGATAGTTAAAGTACTGGTTTTTAGTTAAGTTAAATAATGGCTGCCCAGCTTTCAGACAGCTATTCAAAGTAAAATATATCTGACATGCACTGTGCGCTCTTCTCATTGATCTGGGCTCTGTTCCTCGAAAACCAGAGAAAGAACAGGAAGCGTGTTATACTTTTATCACCCAATATACTTGTGTCCCCTCCCAGCTCAATGTCTTTGGCCATGCTTGCTCCGATAACCATAGCCTCTTAACCAAAAGTACTGCACAGTGCTAGTCCCAGGAGAGAGCCCTTCCACAAAGAAGCCCCCTCGTTGAAGCCTCTCATTTTTAAGTGAAGCTTTAATTAATTACTCTGAATTAAAATCAGTTTGTTATGTAACTGCTTTCATACCCATGTCCTCTCCTCCCCACTCTCATACAGCTGTACAGATTTTTGATAATACTCCTTGCAAAAGAACATGGTAGATCCTCTTCAGTAACCAAAGAGCAAAACTAGAAGTGCATTTTGTATATTTTTAGCTTCAGTAAAACTTCCTTTTAAGAGTTACCCATTTTAAATTTGCATCACTGTCACACACATCCTAATGGGAAGCTGCTTTCCAAGCACAGTTTTTAGATATTATACAACAGAACTCATAATTTCTGACTACAAAGTGCTATACGCTGGACATTTAGGGTTTCAAAATACTGATAACCTGAGGTTCATTTACTTGCCAGACCTGAAAATGCCATGCAAACCACCTAACATTGCACCTAAACCTGGAGATCTGATTTCTGCTCTGAGATGCATTTTATTGCTTGTGTTTAGCATATACGTTCTTGACTAATTTTGTTAGTGATTTACAAATGCCAATTAAATTTACAAACTGTGAAATGCACATCTATTCTCCTATTTTCTTCCTACCTGTATACATACAAATATTTGTAGACATAGTTTTGTGGGATTTGAACTAAGGAAAGGAACAGATTATTCTTCGCAGCTGATGAGCAGGTGGACAGCTTTGTTTCCACAGCTCTCTATTCCTTACGTGATCTCTGTTCCTTACCTTATTTAGTTTGGTCTGAATATGATGAATTGGATTCACCAGAACAGTGCAGACTATACACAAATTTATTTACCTTTATCATTTAGCATTGCACTCTCCAAATACACATGTAGATTTTTGTTACAACTCCTACAGACCAGCACTTAAAATTCCTTTAATTGAAGACCATAGTTCTGAATAATCCTTCTGGATTTGACTGGCCTTCAATGCTCAGCATTTATTCCATAGTAGAAAACCACAATGGAGCAGGAGTGCTGAGGCAACAAAATCTTAGTGCATGTTTCAGTTTGTACACGTGAGTTATCAGTAATAGAATATGCTCACAGTAATTTGTGTGAACTAAGGATCCAGGCATATAAAGCTTAACACTGAGATTTCTACTAGTAGAGTATGAGTTGCACTAAGTAAAAGCTTTTATGTTGAAAAAATAAAGTTAAACCACAGCAATTTGATTAACATATCATGGAAACAAAAGTTACAAATGACTGAACTAATTTGCTATTTCTATCTGGTACCTAATACTGAGGTAACTATACGTACTCAAGTTATACGCAGAGCAATAGACCAAACAACTATTTAAAAAACCCCACCACATCAAACCTAGATAAAACATCAATAATTGATCTGGTTTAATTAAACACTGTTCTACTTGCTAAAACATTGTCCTTCATCAGATGCAAACCCCAGCATTCTGCCGACTGCTAACCCTTCCAAAGAGGAAGGCATACTTTCTCCATTTATAATATACAAATTCCATTAGGAAAATAATTTGCATGAAGCTACAAACCTGAAATGGACAATTTCACTAGTGCTTTTTTTTAATAGATAAGAAGTGATGTCTAACTTTACTTCCAAACTTCTTCTCACAGCTATTTTTTTCTACTGAAACTATTAGCCAAATAACATGGAGGAAACAATTTAAGAGAAAACAAAGCCTATTTAAAAAAACAGGAAATGAATCATTTATGTTTTAAAAGCAAAAACCAAACGTGAGCAAATGTTTCACCCCATCTTCCCTGCCCACTATTAACAAAAAGCTTCACTATAGTTTATGCTAAAAATGTACCTTTCTTAGGGTTGTTTGAATGTTTTTTCGCTTGAGCTCAGAAGAGAAATCGTTCAGTTTATGTACATAACTTACTCTTTAATAGCTTCATTTATTTGAAATGCTTCAGTAGGACCTTGCAACTCCAGAGCTGACCTCTAAACCATTGCAGGGAGCAAGAGAAGAAAACACTGAATGAAGGAACAACAGGCACTGGTGGTCTTTGTAGGAAGGCACAGAAGCCTTTTAGTACTTCCCTCATGAGGAAGAAATATTCCTCTACAAGATCTTTGACAATGTGGGGCTCTGGCAGCAATAAGAACCTAAGAAGAAAACTGGTCCTGCTTACATTGAACTCTGGCAAAAAAAATAAAGCTGGATTTGTCTCCTGAGTCAGCTCACAGCACAATGCTGCGCACTGCTTATTCAGCAACACCACAGGCTGATACTGTCACCTAAGTTCCCCTGTCCTCAAACCTTGTCCTCAATATCAGAAGATCCCTACCCTGACAACAGACCGGTGACAAAAAAAATATCTTAATTGCTCAATTATGCTGTATTATGCAGATCTCATTCACTAACCTTCCACAGAATCTATGGGGTTGGCTTTAGTACGCCTGTTCTTACTGATGTACCCGAAATGCAGAGCAGAAAAAAAACCAAACAACCTGGCTAACTTGTCACACATTTATTATTCGATCTTCAGTGATTTCACTGACAGAGAAGCCTGATAACTCTCTTTCTAAACTTGATGGGAGAAAGGCAATGTTTCTTTGTAGTCACACAGCCTGCCTAGTTATTTAGATTTTGTCAGACAGATTTTTGATGGTTTTGAACAGGAACAGAAAAAAAGTCACTCCCAGTTACTGCACTGAGAGAACCTGGCTCAGCCCACCCAAGGTAATATTTGGAAAGTTCTGTTACCTAGAAAGCACATAAAAATAAACTTGCCTTCCAAAAAGATCCTATTCCAGTAGATTTTTCCAACGTGATTTCCTCCAAGAAATATTAGATTTGATAAAATCAACATTGAAGTGCTAACAGATGCTAGGACAGCATGAAGTCGACGACGAATTCTTGGCGAGAAAAAACTCTCCTAAGGGGCAAAACAAAAGGTGCAGATGAAGTTAACAACCCCTACAATTTTTCAAGCAATGTTAGAAAAAGACATTTTAGTTACGACAAACAACTTTTATACAGAAGTTCAACTCCTTAAGGAACAGATCCCAAAACTTTTTAAACATCTCACAGAGTTCCCACCGACGCCATTTAAGTTTGGGTAAGACTTCACAATAAATAGTGGTGTTAAATCATACTTGAGGTTACGAAGAGACCTCTGGAGGTTACCTAGAAAGGTCATCAAAGCAGGGTCAGCTAGAACAGGCTGCTCAGGACTGTGTCCAGTTGGGTTTTGAATATCTCCGATGACAGAGACTGCACAACCTCACTGCAACTTGTGCCAGTGTTTGACTACCCGCACAGTAAAAAAGATTTCCTTACGTTTAAATGGAATTTCTTGTATTTTAGTTCGTACCTGTTGCCTTTTGTCCTGTCACTAAATACCACTGAGAAGAGCCTGGCTTCGTCTTCCCCTCTACAGTTAGGTGTTTATACACATCGATAAGACCCCCCTGAACCTTGTCTTCTCTAGGGTAAACAGTCCCAGCTTTCTCAGCCTCTTCTCTTACAGCAGATGCTCCAGTCCCCTTACCATCTTTGCAGCCCTTTGCTGAACTCACTCCAGCATGTGCATGTCTGTCTTGCAGAGCGGAGCCCAGAACTGGACACAGTTCTATATATTCTATGTCTTAACTTTTTTCTTATAAAATGTACTTGTTGATGAATTTTTGTTGACGGACATAAACAGTAAAAACATGCTTCTGGGATGGATAATACTATCAATAGGTTCCAGTATGGAGTTGCATCAAACAGCATCAAACAACTTCAGAAGTCATTAATGCTTTGGTTGATTAATTGTTCTAATGATATAAATAAACTAGGTCTCTGTCCACCATATACTAGTTTACATTTTTATGAATCTATATTTTGCATTATCACCTGAGATTTAAGCGCAGCACGTAGACTGCAAGAAGATGGTTAAAGAACGATGAGAAAGTTTTAGCTTCCTCCAATATTCAGCTGCTAGAACAAATTTTAAAGAGCATTATAGCACATCACAAGGAAATATTGTCTCATTACTGCATAAGAAAAATATATTGTTCATCATGGCCCCAGGCTGAAAGCCTCTTTACATAGTGCCTGAATCTGCAAAAGACTGAATGCTTCGTGTGAAGCGATGAGCATTTGCCAGGGCATGGGAACTAAGGAAAATATCAGTAGCTGCTCAGCCTTCATGTCATAAATGTTGATGTTGCAGAAAACCAAGTCTTGTGACTGCAGCATCAAAAAAAAGAGCAGAAATTAATCTTTAATATCTGCAGCGAGACCAGAATTCATGCTCAGATACCTGAAACAACATAAACATGCTCAAAGCAGACCTAAAAATACATTCCTAGACAATTAAATTGCTGGTTTTGTAAGCATCAAAACAAATGTTTCAAGTGATAGATTATAAAGTGACAAATCTTCAAATAAATCACAGCTACAAGCATAAAAATACAATTTTAACATATTACTGCAAAGAAGATCTCTGGTAAATTGAATGTCAGCCCCAGTCAGAACTATATCTAGTGTAAGAGTCAGTCTGAGTCAGCACAAAAATGGGGATACATAAACTGTATCAGCCTGTATGCGCAATACAGCAGTAGTCAATCTTGCATACAATACTATGAAAAACATTCATGTATGAAAACAGGGACTGAGATTTTTCTCTGAAAATTCTGGATGAAAACTAGGGCATCAGAGCAGAAGGGTAGAGAATATAAGATAATTATGTAAATATTCAGAGACACCGACAGTTACCTAGTGAAACAACTTTTTCCCTTTCTAGTGCTTTGCACCTCCAAAGCTGCCCAAGGGCTTCCAAAACATTCTCCTTCAGTTCACACACGGGTAGAGGATATCTTAAGTTTGTCTCTTCCTGAAATGCATAGTATGAATGCATGGTCTCATATATGAAAAATGTACGCCTTTTTGGAATGCATAAGGGCACGCACACAGAGAAAATGTTTGAAATCTTGCTATTAAATCAATGTTAACAACCAAGCTTAAATAAGGAGGATTTATGATCATGCTAGCTTGAACTGTTGTGTTAAAAGTCACCAAACTTACCCTCTTCTTACACCATGCTAATTAATTTTGATTGAGCTGTAGCTTACAATAGAGCATAGTCTATCATCGGATCTACCTTTCACTCTCCCTTTGTCTATCAAACTTATTCATCAACTCTATAGAGAAACAGCTTTAATTAGGAGAAGGAAAAAAAAAAAGAGAATCTTCTGGTAAAACTGTAGAAAGAATTAGAGATGGACAACCCATCAGACAGCTGACATTGGACTGCACTTTCCACCAAGGTACTGATTAGACCTGGTAAGTTTGTAAGGTCTGCCTGTTTTACAACGCAAGGCAATACAACTAAGACAAACAACATGAATAGCTAAAAAAGCTCAGCCATTTTTTTTTTTAAAAAAATATTAATGCAGTTACTAAAAAAAGAAATAAAAATGTCACATATAATACATCACCCTCTACAAAAGTGCTGTATGTTAAACAATATAAGTTAACTGTAGTACAGACTGTAAAAGCCTTTGGTCATTTATAAGGTATAAGGGAGTAGTTTAAGACAGAAAGAGTTTAGACAAACACTGAACCCTTTCTGGGTTTTGCTGTAGCTAATTTCCATTAACTTTGCTAGGCATTGATCCAAAAAGCAGTACACATTTTCCTGAGAGTCTTTGATGTCAATGCAGCTTTCACCCTGCTGCAACAAAGGTAAAAAAAGAAAACGCTCTTTAAACATCTCATGTCATCTGGAAAAAGCTAACTATGAAAGTACCTGAGCAGCTATTGTGCTCAAATTAATACACTGGAAGCATTAATTTACCCATGAAAAAGGAATGATGCTGGTCTAGATAATCCATAATAACATTTGTGATTGAAATAACTAACAGCATGTGGATTTTTCTGAATACACAGCAAGTTGTTTTCATCAAAGCAGACAAAATTAAAAAAAACCTCCACACCCACAACTCTTCATTATGCTATTTAACGCTTTTAACAACATGTTCCATTGCAACAATACAAGCAGCTGCTATAGATTTGTGGTGTTTCTCTGGATTTTATTGATGTGTCTTTCTCTTTCCTCTTTTCCTGTTGGAAATACAGCCAGAAGATAGAGTGGCAAAAGAGCACCTAGTGCAAAAATTACAATGAAGTTATGGCTGTCTGGCTGAAACCCTTATATTTACATCCTTCCTCAATGCTCCATCTTACTTGTAATCTCGCATCAATACCTCATCGTACTTTACTTTTAGTAATCACCCCCACTTCCTCACACACTGTGAAATAAATGGACTGTAGCATTTAAACTACGCAAAAAAATAGACATCTTGTCAAGATATTCAGTCCAAAGGCATGTGGCATGACACAGGAGGTGACTTACAAAGGTTGGCTCAGGCCAACTTTCCTGGGACTGAATGGAGTTTGGGTTGTTATTCCAATCCAATTTGTGCTGTAAATGAAGATCAGCCTCAGACATTTTTGCCAGAAGCTGGGAAAAACCTCTCTCTGCACATTGTTGGGTCTAACAAAATTGTCTACCATCAGATCTCTCTCAACTGGGATTTCTCAGTCATCTTACAAAAATAAACGAGACTATCATGTAGTAGGGTACCTTGAAATGTAAATCTCTGTATGTGTTTGAGAGGGGTGGAAGAAGACAGGCGTGAAAAGAATCATAGAATACCATGTTGGAAGGGATCTCAAGGATCATCTGGCCCAGCCTTTCTTTCTAAAGGCACTGTCTAGACAAGATTGCCCAGCACCCTGTCCAGCTGAATCTTAAGTGTCCAACGTTGAGGAATCCGCCACTTCTCTAGGGAGATAATTCCGATGGCTAATTGTTCTCATTGTGAAAAATTTTCCTCTTGTGTCTAATCGGAATCTCCCCAGAGGTAACTTGTACCCATTATCATGTGCCTTCTTCATGTGATCCCTTGTAAAAAGGGAGTCTCCATCTTCTTTGTAGTCACCCTTTAAATACTGGAACATGGTGATAAGGTCTCCTCTAAGCTTTCTTTTCTCAAGGCTGAACAATCCCAATTCTGTCAGCCTTTCCTCACATGGCAGGCTTCTCAGTCCTTTGATCACCTTTGTGGCCCTTCTCTGGACCCTCTCCAGACTGTCCACATCTTTTTTGTATAGCAGGGACCAAAACTGAACACAGTATTCCAGGTATGGCCTGACAAGTGCTGAGTAGAGTGGGACAATGACTTCTTTATCTCTGCTGGTGATGCCCTTGTTGATGTAACCCAGCATCCTCTTGGCTTTCTTTGCCACTGCAACACACTGTTTGCTCATATTGAACCACCAGGACCCCCAGGTTTGTTTCCACAGAGCTGTACCCCAGCCAGGTAGATCCCAACCTGTGCTGCACTCCTGCATTATGTTTTCCCAGGTGCAAGACACTTGTCCTTGTTGAACTTCATAAGGTTCTTGTTAGCCCACTCTTCCAGCTTTTCCAGGTCTTCCTGCAGGGTGCCTCTCTTCCAAAGTGTCCACTACCCCCCTGTTTTGTATCATCAGCAAACTTCATCAGGGTACACTTGATGCCATCATCCAGATCACTTATGAAGATACTAAACAGGTTTGGGCTCAATATCGATCCCTGGGGGACCCCACTTGTGACAAGCTGCCAATTTGAAAAAGAGCTATTTACACCACCCTCTGGTTGCAGCCTGTCAGCCAGTTCCCCACCCACCACACAGACCACTTGTCTAGACCGTAAAGCATCAGTTTCTCTAGGAAGAGGCTGTGAGGAAAATACTCACTTTATTTACTCTGCAAGGTAATTACACCCCTATGAGTCCAAAACAAAGAAAAATGGCAGGAGAAGTGGCTCCAGACAGCAGAGCATCATTTAAAAGAACTTCTCTCTAAGGTGAGGTTGAGCTAATCAACAATAAATTTGCATTTTCA